TAGCCTAGCAGTGAGAGGATTATGACAACCTTCAGGAGATATGATCACAGCACCGATGCCATTACCAAGTGCGTTGGAAGCTCCATAAAAAAACATAGTCCATCGGGAACCTTTCGTAAGTCCTTCATCTGGTCCAGGTTCTTCACAATCAGTCACTAACATGATGTTCTCGTCTGGGAACTCAAAATTCATGGATTGATAGTCGTCCACAACCTGATGAGCCAAATGATCAGCTAGTATACTTCCTTTTATTTCCTTTTGGGTAGTGTACTAAATGTCATATTCGGTCAGGACCATTTGCCATCTTGATATTCTTCCAGAGAGAGCGGGCTTCTCGAATATGTATTTGATAGGATCCATTTTAGATATCAATAAAGTGGTGTGGGTTAACATATACTATCTTAGTCGGCGAGCAGCTCATGCCAAAGCGCAACAAGTTTTCTTGAGCAGTGAGTATCTTATTTCGCAGTCGGTAAACTTTTTGCTAAGGTAGTATATTGCATGCTCTTTTCGACTAGACTCGTCATGCTGCCCCAGCACACACCCCATTGAATTTTCTAATACTTTTAAGTACATGGCCAGAGGTCTTCCTTCAACCGGTGACATTAAAATTGGAGGTTCTTGAAGATACTCCTTGATTCTATCAAAGGTAGTCTGGTAGTCGTCATTCCACTTCACTACTTTATCTTTCTTTCGTAATTTGAAAATTGGCTCACAAGTAGCGGTTAGGTGGGAAATGAATCTGGAAATGTAGTTTAGGCGTCCAAAGAATCCCCTTACCTCCTTTTTAGTGCAGGGAGTTGGCATCTATTGAATAGATTTAACCTTCGTAGGATCTACTTCGATACCTTTTCCGCTGACAACAAAACCTAGGAGCTTACCAGATCTTACTCCAAAGGTGCACTTGTTCGGGTTCAGTCTCAACTTGTATTTCTTCAGTCTCTCAAACAGCTTTTGCAGGTGATCCACGTGCTCTTCTTCAGTCTAAGACCTGGCTATCATATCATCAATGTAGACCTCTATCTTGTGATGGATCATATCATGAAACAAAGCTACCATAGCACACTGATAGGTTTCCCCAGCGTTCTTCAACCCAAATGGCATAACTTTGTTGCAGAAGGTGCCCCACTACGTGACGAAAGTTGTTTTCTCCATATCTTCAGGTGCCATTTTAATTTGATTATACCCGGAGAAACCATCCATGAAGGAGAATACCTTATGTCATGCAGTGTTGTCAACCAAAACATCAATGTGGGGGAGCAAGAAGTCATCCTTGGGGATCGCCCTATTCAAATCTCTGTAGTCCACACACATACGCACCTTGTTGTCCTTTTCAAGTACCGGTACCACATTTGCAACCCATTGTGGATAAGAAGTAACAGCTAAGAACCTGACATTGAACTATTTTATAACTTCAGCCTTGATCTTTTCTGACATCTCATGCCGCATATGACGAACCTTTTGTTTCACTGGAGAACGGTCTTCTTTCGCTGGTAAACGATGAACCACAATATCAGTGTCCAGCCCTGGCATGTCTTCGTATGACCATGAAAAGATCTCAATATAGTCATGTAACATATGGATTAACCGCTCTTTGACAATATGCTTCAAGTTGGAAACTATCTTGACTTCCTTCTTATCCTCTTCAGTACCCAAGTTTACCGTCTTGACTGGCTCTTCATGAGGTTGTATTGCTCTTTCCTCCCGTTGTAACAGTCTAGCAAGTTCTCCTGGTACTTCAAAATCTTCCTCACCTTCGTCTTCAGCTTGGTAGATCATATTTTCAAAGTCATAATTGGCAATAGCAGAACCGTTATCAATGGGATCCATAGTGGATGTGGATCTGCAGTTTGATATGTAGGTGTGTGTAAGAGAACATAGCTATTTTGATAAAGTAAAAGAAGAAAAGAAATAAAGGAGTGCAAAATTTTTATGCAAAACATCTAATGATTTATTTATGACATATGAAAGTGAAATGATAACCCTCATAAATAAACCATTGTGCCTCGGGTAAGACACAAGGCTTTAAAGTTCAAATTGTTTAAATATTACATATCCCAAAAAACAAAAAGACAATTACTCCTGGATGAAAGTAATGGGAACAAAGTCTCTAGCCGTCCAATTGTTGAGTCCACTGTTGGTAGCAGGGAAGATCCAATTGTCCAGGTCACAATCACTGTTAGCGTCTTCTACAACATTGACTACATGGTTGCTGATGCATAATGGTGGTCCTCCGGCACGAGTACGACGAACGGCTTTTTGAGCTCCTGAAGTGAAACCCAAACCAAATTTGTCATACTTATAAGGGATGTCAGGTAGTTGGACCCAAATAGTGCACCCACCTTATTCAATTATAGCCCTAACATCTTTTAGAGAAGCCATCTTCAGTGGAGGAATGGTAATCTCTGGAACAGCGGTAGTAGCTTTGGTAACAACAATTGTCTGAGGAACCTCTTCAAAATTCTGGCAGGGGGTCTCGATGAACTCTCTGTCCATCTCGACATATCAGAAAGAGTTCAGATGGCTCACCGTATACTCTTCTTCTCCATGGACTGTAACAATATTTTCATTAATCGGATACTTTAACATTTGATGCAAGGTGGAAGTGACAGCGCCGGCTCCATGAATCCAAGGGCGTCCCAACAAACAAGAGTAAGACGGACGAATGTCCATCACATAGAAAGTGGAGCCAAAAGTTTGGGAACCGAATTTAATAGGAATGCCCACCTCCCTGTGTATCATTCTCTTAGAACCATCAAAATCCCTCACCACAATATTACCGGGCTTCAAAGTTAGTCCTTCACAGTCCAATCTGTCTAAAGCACCCTTGGGTATAACATTTAGCAACGAACTTGTATCAACTAGAACATGAGCCAGGGTAGTGCCCCTGCACTCAATAGAGACATGCAGTTCATTATTAAGCTTTATTCCTTTAGACGTCAAATCTGCATCAGAGAAACCAATTCCATTGTCGGCAGTTAGACTAGCAACATAGTTCTTGAATTGGTCGGCAGAAGTCTCTTGTGGCACATGAGCCGACTTCAGGAAATTCACCAAAGCCTTAGCATGGGCTTCAGAGCATAATAACAAGGCCAACATTGAAATTTTTGAGGGTGTCTTCCTCAATTGTTCCATAACATTATAGTCACTCTTCCGTATGATTTTCAAAATTTCCTCCATTTCTCATTTGGAGGCTTCAGGAATGGATTTTTTGGGTGCCTCCGTCCGGGCAGGCTCAACCAATACTTCTTTGCCCCGAGTCTCAGCTGACTCGGTAGCAGGAAAATCAACAGGAGCAACAGGTGTTTTAGCAGGAATAACCAAAGGAGTGGAAACAGTCTTTGGAGAGATTTCATGAGAGAAAACCCTTCTGCTTCTGGTAATTTTACTGGTCCCAACAATGTTGTCGATGTTAGAATCAGTATCTTCAGTAACTTCATTCTTAATGGCTAGGAGGTCATGCTTGACGCCATGATAATAAACGTCAGCTCCATAATTCCAAGTAACAGCTTTGTCGAAGGAATATGGTATGGGTCATAGAAAGGTGATAATTAAAGGAGTAACTTTAGGAGTGGATGTAATCCTGACAGGTCTTTTGGAGGATACCCTGGGAGGATTGTCAGAAATGGTGATAATTGACACATCTTCACATCTTGCATCTTCACATAGACCTTTTATAGAGGGAGTCTTCTCAAACAAAATTTCCTTGTTGTTTATCAAGCGTTGGACACCATCTTCAACAATAAACAACCATTAGGCAGAGACGTACACAGGTGACAACCTTCACCACAGCCCAGAAATAAATCGGCTTGTAAGAGATTCTTCTTAACAGTTGGCAGAGGGGTATTAAAATCACGCACAGAAGAAACAAAAAGAAAATCATCAACAGCATTAATGCCCTGGCCATGCTTGGGCATTGGTGCAGTTATCACATTGAGGGTTTCATGAGGGTAAAATTCAATCTCCTTTGCCTCAATAAGATCCTGAACTTTATTCTTCAGAGCCCAACAGTCATTTGTATCATGCCATTGACTGTTGGAGTGGTAGGCACATCGAGCATTTGGATTATAACAGGGAGATATAGTGTTTGGATTTTGAGGAGGCTCCTTCAGAGTGACCAAGATAGCCTTCATTAGATGTTGCAATACTTGAGATAAGGGCATGTTGAGTCTGGTGAATTGTCTTCTAGGGGCATCTTGCATGCGTTGATTATTTTGTCGTTGAGTCGATACAGGGTTGGAGATCATTACAGCTCCTACCGTTGGATGGCGTTCAGCTTTACCCTAATTTCTCAGGCCATGGGCAGCACTAACTTCCTTCCTTCCATTGAAAGGCTTCTTTACAGCACTTGAAGACACATCCCTTTGAATCTTACCGCTCTTGATACCAACTTATACTTGTTGTACCCAAAAATTTGCCCTCCCATTTTTCATTCAAGATATTATCCTAGGGTTTCTCGAATACTCAATTTCGCTCGGAAATTGATCAGACAGATTCTCTTCCTAGGCAGTAAGTCAATAATTAGGGTTTGGTATTTCTCAAATAAAATTGAGTCTTCAAGGTTTCAAATGGTCTTCATAGATCTTCATGTATCCTCAAGGATGTTCGTGCCAAGTTTCAAGCCTCGCATCGCAAGTTTTCTCAATAAATGGTTTAGATGATTGAAAATGAACTGCATTGACCTAAAAGTCGACCTTTTCAAGATCAAGTTCAAACGATTGTAACTTCTTCGATGTTTCGATATTCTTGAGTGTTTCTTTTTACGTATGACTCTCCTTGACATCATTTTCAACTTCTCTTTACAAGTCAAGAGCTGATTACATGCGAAAGATCATCGGAAATTCGAATACTTTAGAGGTCACTTTCTGGTTTTAACCTAATTTCAGATAATTGTTGTCTGACTTCCAAGGGTCGTAATGTCCTCAATTTTCAAGATTTCGAGACGACAATTTTTGCACATTTTCATAAGCGATGTTATCAATAGGCCCTCTTCAAGAAAAATGACTTATAATGCTTCGCTAAATTTCAAGGTGCCGAGTTCTCAACACAGCAAGTTTTATCTTGAACATTCAAGGCCTTTTAGGTTTGGCTCGACTTATGATGCAAGATGAGTTGATTTGTGAACAGTCGGTGCAAGGCATGCCTTTTAAGTATTCAAAATGGGTTTGCAAATTTTCATATTTGAAAACTCTTTGAGAAGAAAGGTGAATTTCATGGTGTGATTAAATTCAGTCCATTTCTAAATAGGAATCTATCAATAACTCTTGGAGTTTTTATCCTTTAAAAATTCAATGGTTAAATTCAAAGGTTTTTATCCTTTTAAAACTATTTTAAAGTTTTTATCCTTTCGAAAGAGGCATAGTTTCTTTATTCATCGAATTTCACTTAAGGCATTCATCATCATTCAAGATATCAAGTTATTATTCCATTCAAGAATTGGATTCAAACTTCAAGATAAAAGTTTATCAATGCTAGTTCAAGGAAATTCAAGAGTATTCAAGGCATGTATCATTATCCATTCATCATTCGAAGGTCCACTACTATTCAATTTCATTCATTTTCATTCAAGCTTCAAGAAGAAAAGTTATATGGATTTCAATTCTAAAGCTTTGAATAATTTCATTATTCAAGTTTACAAAAATACAAATCCAATTCATTTTTTTTCTTCCAAGTTTCAAATTACAAATTACAAAAATTACACAAGTGTACATAATTATCAAAAAAAGTAAATCCTAAATCCTAAAGCTACTAAGATTCAAATTTTGCTTCATGCCAAGCTATTGTCCATTTGTGCTACTGCTACCCTGCACATTAAAGTCCAAAAATCAGCCCTCTTGCTGTCCAAACCTTGCTACAAAACAGCCTTCCTGCTGCCCTGTTTACAAGCCTAATCTGCCCTGCTAGCTGCTCCAAAAAATGCATCAATCTGTTGTACCAGTCCACCAAAGTTGCACCAAAATAGAGAAAAGAAAACCTCCATAATAAGCTTGTTGTTACTGTCCAAAAACAACCCTATATCAATCCAAAATTCTACTCCACATGCTGCCTAAACTTGTTGTTACCCTGTCCACAAACAGCCAAATATGGCGCGAAATAAGCAAAACATAAACATCACAAAAAAGGAAATGAAACAGTGCACTGGAATTGTTCAAAATTATCAGTTTATTCCCCCCAAAACTCACCTTTTTTCATCTGTAAAACAAATTCTTCAAACATTGTTTAAAAAAAACCCGGTCACTATCCTCACTCTTCATTTTACTATAACATTTATCCTCCAAAACTTTAAATCTCCTTCAATCCACAACTTAAATCTTCATACTTCAACCATACCGACATACATACCAAGCTCCTATTTTCAAATAAATCTTCCTACAAATCTCAATAAGTGGTAGCAACCTAAACAACTAAAACCTGCAGAATTTAACATCAAACTTGGCAAAAGGAAAGAAACAGAGGAAATTAAAGAAGAGAGAGCATCAAAGGCTTACCTGAGAAGAACCGAAACTCCAATCTGGTAACTTCTTTTTCTTCCTTTATCTTCACTTCTATTCCACTGATTGTTGTTATACTGAACATATGAGGTTGCTAAGGTTGTTTTTTCTGTATGGAAATGTTGTTTTGTTGTCATGAAAAACCCACAGTAAATAACATAAAAATTCAGAGAAAAGAATACTTCAAAGATCCGAACCGCGATTTCTTTTCCATCAACCATATCAAAAAAATCAATCAAAAAAAAGTAGTCCACACTTAATTCATTCATAAACCAGAGAATTAGTTCAAACATACTTCAATTTTAAGTGTTAGAGCTACTGTTAATAGCTCTTATGCCACCAGCAATGCTTCTGTGGATGAAAAGGCTGAGACCGATGAAGTTGATAACCAAGCGTTACCAATACCAGCGTATGAGCCACCTCAGAAGTTGACTTATGCTTTTGAAATTCCTCTTGTCAGTGACAAGAAAAACTCAAAGGTAGATGATCTCGATAACTTAAAACAACAAACCATGGCACTTTTGTTACTTCTCTTACTCTTCTTCTTATTTACTATCACAAGCTTTCTTCTAACCCTGAAATAACAATAGCAAAACCTAGAGTTTAGATAGTATAAAGTGGAATAAGGTTATCAGATAAGGAGTATCAAATTATCAAAAATAGAACACAGAGATAATGAAACTCCCTCCTTCTCACGACCCATTTCTTCTCCATCTCAGCTTCAAACCATCTGTAACATCATCGCGACGATGCTTGAAAGGGACAATGCCCTGGTTGCTCGCCTTGAGTTAATCTCCCTATCGCTTTTTATTCTGACGGCATCGGTGATTTCCAGCAAGATGTCTCTGGCGCCTGTAAGGGGAAGAGAGGGATAGAAGATGGAATTTGTGAGTGGGGAAGGGGAGTTTAACCCTTTTTTACGATAGCTTTGGAAACAGATTTATCTATAATAAAATTTTGTTTTCTTTCCCAATTGACAATAATAATGTGTAGTCAATTTCCCTTTCCCCACAACTCTCAGTAGTGCGCTTCACTTCCTTAGGTTTTTTCAAGATTTTTCTTTGTCCAATTCTGGACCGGGTCGACCCTTTGGCCCAATCCAATCATTGATTTTCCCTTTTGTTCTAATAGAATCATGGATATAACGGATAATTGATCTGATATAGTTGACAAAGCACATTATCCATAATCTTAAAGACCTGAGCTCGACCTCTGCTGGGGCATTTTTTCTGTTCTTTTGCTCTTTTTAAGCCTTTTCTTTCAATTCCAGTAAAATTTGGTTATACATATAGTTTAGGTTTTATTTAATAACCTTAGAATTATTTTAGTTTATAATTAATTTTTAGTTTATATTTAACTTAATTTAAGTCTTATTCAATAACTTTAGAATTAATTTAAAATATATTTAATTTTTTAATTTTATAATTAGCTTAGTTTAGGTTTATTTTAATAATTTAGAATTTTAAGTTAGCTTAGAAATACTTTAATAACTTTATTTAGTTTTGATTTAATTTTATCAACCTTTAGTTTTAATTCTAGAATCATAATTTCGAATTATTTAATTTTCTTAATTAGTTTAGTTAGCAATTTTGTAAATAATTTTACTAATTAACTTTTTATTTAGTCTTAAATTATTTGCTTAAATTCTTCATAATATAAAATACCAAAATACAAATATATACAAATGATTTAATTTCTTTAATCAATTATTTTCTTTAGTAGAATAGAATTTTATTTTTCTTTCCAAATTCTCACAAACAAAAATGCCAAGAATTTTATTTCTATACTTTGTTAATTAATTTTTACTTTACACATTGTTGTAGTTTTAATTGTTCGATTCGATTTGGTTGTATTGATTGCCTATTTGGAATTTTAATCGCATTGATCCATCCCCATTTGTAAATTTGTACCCCCATCCCCAAAAAATTTGTAATAGCGTAGAATTTCAATTTTCGTAGTTTACTGGTTTTTTTCTTTATATTGTATAGTAATTAGGCGTGTATGGTAAGACATAAAAACAATCGTTAGACCACCCTAATCAAAGACAAATTTACTTGAATCAAACACACTTTTCACACGCGCACCTCCAAGGTAACCTCGCTTGTTGCCTCGGAAAAATAGTCATGTCCCTCGAATATGGGACGCTTTAGGAAAAACCCTTAGATAAAAAAGATCGTAGTCCCTCGATGTTTCCTTTGATAAAACAATCTAGTCCCTTATGAAAATTGCTAAAGCATCTCACAAGTTGCCTTCTATGACTGTACGATTGACTCGCGTCTGTCCCTTCACATCCAACGATGGGGATTCTTACCAAATCAATGGTAAGATAGCAACATCTAAAGGAGGAGGAAAAGAATATTTAAGACCTTTTGAGTAGGTAGGATGCTCCTAGTTGCTCGCTTGCTCACAACAAAAACATTTTATACACCAACACTTTCATTTGAAACATTTTCAAAAGTTAAAACACTTTGTACGCGTTCTTATAGAAACGAGAACCATTACAAAGACACCTTTTCAAAATCACTTTCAAAAACATATTCCACAAACACCTCTTTGAACTATTTTCAAAACAACACTTTGTACGCGTTCTTATAGAGATGAGAACCATTACAAAGACGTTTTCAAAATACTTTCAAAACCCACACCACAAGCACACTTTCAAACAAATGCAAGTGATATAGCAAGTAACTAAGAGCCCGTAGATAACTACGGATGAAAAGGGTGTTAATACCTTCCCTTTTCATAACCTACCCCCCGGACTCAAGAAATAATCTCGAAAGGTATTTCCTGTTCTTTTCAAACCTTTCCTTATTGGATAAAAGAAAAGTCGATGGTGAATCTTGTTATCCGCAACAATTGCGATCAAACGCAAACACCCAAGTCAGTTCTCCCACCGTGTTACACTACTCTTTCACCTATCAATATCAGCTCGCTGAACCCAGCTGAAGAGCTTCCAATCAGATGGTTAAAAAATGGGCTTGACAAAGTACCCAAGAACATATATACCAGCTCTCTATCAGACAGAGGAGGTTGGACTCTTCCTGCAAGATCTCTCCATTTCTGGGCATAATCTTTGAAGCCCTCACTGGAACCCATAGACATGCTTTGAATTTGTGTATGGGTTAGAGCGAGATCATCATTGTATTGGTACTGCCTGTAGAAAGCAGCAGCCAGATCTTCCCAGTTGCGGATGTTGGTTCCCTTCAGCTGATAAAACCATTCCAATTGAGTCCCCGATAAACTTTCCTGGAATAAATGCACCCACAAATTCCTATCAACGATGTGAGGTTGGATCTTCCTGACATAAGATCTCATATGCAGCTTAGGACATGAAACCCTGTCATATTTAGAAAATGTGGGAACCTTGAACTTCTATGGAATGACCACTCCAGAAACCAACCCTAATTCTTCAAAATCCAGATCAGGTACTCTCGAATTTCCATGGCGTTGAGACGATCCTCCAGCTGTTTATTTTTATCATCAGCAGGAGGATATTGTTCTTCAGCATAGTCAACCTCTTCTTCATCAGACCTTGGGTTGTGGTCCTCTTATTTTGTCTTCTCTTCCTGATCGTCCTCCTCATTTGACGGAGTTGTGAATTCTAGAGCTCACTTTGCTGGTCCTCTGAATCTCCTTCCCATATTCAGGACACCCACTGGTTTCTTTGTCTTTTTCTTCATGTCTTTGAGAATGAGAGCCTTCAGGTCCTCTTGTCCCTTAGCCAGAGTCAGGAACATTTGCTGGAATTGAGCATTTTGTGCTTAGAGATCCCTAATATTATGTTCGAGAGCCATTTCTTTTTACTGAAATAAACAGCGAAAAGATAAGAAACCGATTCTGAAACCTGTTTATGTGATGATATGCATGACATGCTTATGCAATGTTTTCAAGGATTTTTAAGATTTAAATTTACTTAGACAAAGAGAGAACAGACATTAATTGCATTAATAAGTTTAAAAGGTTACAAAATTTCCCCTTGGGCTTACAATGGAAGAAACAAAAATAATACAAAATAGACATCCTAAAAGAAATCTAGTTTCCCATGAACGCATCCTCTTTGGTGTAATGTAGGCATTGAAACTTTGCTCTTCATAAAGTTGCCTCGTAAGCTCCAAAACCTTCTTCTCGCTTGCGTAGAACTGAGTTTCGAAGGTGTCTCGCTCCCCCTTTAGTTGAATCCAAGATCTTTTTAAATCTTCAAGATAAGTAGGCATATCAGGATAAAGGACAGTATATGGAACATCTCCTTCGGCAACAGGCTCCATGATGATTGGTAGATGGCGGGATAAGGCATCACGATACTTTGAGCACGAGTTTGTACCCACTTAAGGTAAGGCTCAAGGGGGGTGGAATTTTTATGCCTCAATGTCTCACTATCCACTTTGTAAGTCTCAGAGTGCCTAAGAGGGGGGGTGAATTAGGTCTTATAAAAATTTATTCGGTTATATGAGAATGCTTGGTAGTAATTTTTGGTTAAGTATTTGAAGGTTTTGATTATATCTTTATCTTTTCTCGATTATGGTGATGAAAGTGATAAATGCGGAAAAGTAAAGAACACGGTGATATATCCTGGTTCCCCTCACAATCCGAGAGTACTCCAGTCCCCTTTCCAACACGAAAGAGATTTCACTATAGTTAGAATGATTGTACAGCCTATGCTTACTATCTAACCTATAGGGTAATCAAAGGTTCTTAACACCTTTAAGACCAAACAAACACTAATGTGAATGAAGAACAATCCTCTTCAAATCACAACACTTACTTCCAACAATCCTGGATAGTAAGGGAAAATCTTTAAGTAATACAATGATTAATTTTGAAGTATATGGAGAGCTTTATCAATCTTCAATTGATCTTCTTCTTCAAGATAAAAACAATTCTCAACAATGTATATAAATGTTCAAATGTATGAATGAAACTTGTAATGATAATGAAAGTGTATATGGCAAGTTTCACAAATTTATGAACACATGAAAGTTTAAATTCAAATGAGAGTGAATGAGAAAATTGTTAATGAAGAAGTATATTTGTTAATTTGAAAATTGAAGTATTGAATATTGTTTGAAAATAAGAAAATCTGCATTTTATAAAGTTGTAAGAACCTCTTCATTCATGCCAATTCATATGAAAAGTTGCAATGCATTCATGAAAAGATACCACTTGAAAAATGTTCAAAAAACAAAGTAAAAGCTGCATTGGTTCGCTAGGAACCGGTTCCGACACTGACAGAACCCGGTTCTTAGTGAACGTTATAAGTTGGAATTCAAATTTATCACGCAGGAACCGGTTCCCCTATTGGTACAACCCGGTTCCTGGTACAAAAACCAGGGACATGTTTTTTGAGAAAAGCTGGAACCCGGTTCCCTGTTAGGGAGGAACCGGTTCCTAAAGGTTTATTTTCAAAAATACATTTTGAAAGATATTTCAAACAAAGTTTTTCTTGATGTTAAAGTTATGGAATATGTATATGTTGATGAATGCATATTGTGAACATCTATATTCAAGGTTTTAAGAATTATTTATACCATATTGACATTTGATGATTTCTTTAATAATTCTTCAATAATCTTCAAGACTTTAATTTGATGTTGATAAGATTTTTGCACATCCTTTGAAACTTGATGTCCATGTTATCTTCATCAAAACACATGCTTTAAATATGACTTGAGAAGCTTGCAATTACATTCTCCCCCTTTTTGATGATGACAACCAAGTCTTGAAAACGATTTCTTGAAATGTTCATGTTGTTTTGTGTAGCGAACATGTTGAGCAAATACAAGGCTCCCCCTAAATTGTATGCTCCCCCTAAGTCCATGATTCTTTGAATTTTGGAGAGAGTTTGACATTTATTTGGGCCTGCAATTTCTTTGAAACA